CCCCGACGGCCGAACAGCTTCCTTCACTTAAAACCATCAGTACCTCCGAGCCTATTTTTGACGAGGGAGATTCCCTCTGCACACCAAAGAAAACGCAACGTCGACGGAGGCGATTTTGTTTTCCGTTCGTTTTCATTTTGGCTGGCGAGGCCTGCCCATGTCAGTACAGCAGCACTGTTCATCTGAAGAACACATGGAAGGTCGCAATTTCAATTCTCAAGTTTGCCTGGGCGAGGGAGGTACTGGGGGGGGTTCACCGAGGATGAGGCTGTTTGGTGACGAAATTGGTGTGTGTGCATGCAGCACAGCAGCAATGCAGAAAAATCACCTCCCTCTTCCACTCTACATCTGAAACATCAGATTCAACATAGGAGTAACCCAACCTTTGCAACCAAGAAGCCACCTGCTGTTGACGCGTGTCCCTGAATTGGACTGATTGTCCCAGCTGTCATCCATCAGCTGCACCTGGGTGTGTTCATCTAATCTGTTACTGCAAACCTGGTGCAGACCTGCAGACCTGGCACAGACTTGGTGCAGATCTGCAGACCTGGCACAGACTTGGTGCAGACCTGCAGACCTGGCACAGACCAGGTTCTGCAGACCTGGCACAGACCAGGTTCTGCAGACCTGGCACAGACCTGGTGCAGACCTGCAGACCTGGCATTGACCTGGTACAGCCCTGCGGACCTGGCACTGACCTGGTGCAGACCTGCAGATGTGGCACAGACCTGGTGCAGACCTGGCACTGACCTGGCACAGACCTGGTGCAGACCTTGTGTACGCCTGATGCAGAGTTGGTGGAAGCTTGCTGTGATTGGGCAGTTTTCTTACCCCTTGAAAATGCGTGCTTGTTACCGATTGGAAATTGGCGCCGTTGCATTGTACTGGGCCCACCGCTTTGTACAGGACTGCAGCATGCAAGAGACTGGACCTTGAGAATGGAAGACTGGAAGCTTCATGCAGTTTTCGATCTCGATCGCGCGCGTGATGATTTCTTCCTGTAGGCTTCTAGGTACTGCTCAGATAACTTGCGGACACGTGCCCCTTCCCTAATCAGGAAATTTGCTTCGATTGCCCCTTCATGGTGCTGCATGACCTGTTTAAAATTTAAATTAAATCATAGTTAATAAGATTGTCATATAATAACATCAATTGTAATACAATAACATCAAGTATAACATAATAACATCAATAATCAATTATAATAGTCAATTCCCCGCTCAGACCCCCCCCCCCCCCCCTGCGCAGACCATTCATGCTCGACACCATTGATTGACATTTTGGAACAGATGACGCATTCATACTCATTCACGATTGTATTTTGGATATAGTCAATGATTGCCCGGGCTATTTCTTGCCCCTCAATCCATACCTCCTCCCACTCCCATATGCATCTATGTGTCCATATAGAAGACCACAAGGCCAATGTACCTGCCTTTCTCCCTGTTCGCAGTGTGCGGCATAAATTGGCTCTGAAGCCACAACCAGCTGTATGGAATAAATTGGCTCTGAAGAGTCTGAAGTCACAACCAATGTACTGTTTGTTGTGATCAATCAGCCAATCTCTTGTTTTGGCAGACATCTGTGTCTATTACTGTATAATCTGCCACTGCAAGGAAAGGGGAAAAAGAAGAAGAAAAGAAGGATGCGGGTTTGCCACACCTGATCATTTAGAGGAAAGAGAAGTGGGGTAACAAGGGGTCCAAAAGTAAACCTGCAGAAGGATCATTCAAACTTTCATTGAAACTTCCACATTCTAGAGATTTTCTCAATTCATTGATCCGCAGTACTTTGGACCATGGGAGATCCTAGATGTTGTTGGGGATGAACCAGATGGGCCGTCATATGTTATTTGCACCCCTGGTCACTTACGTGCTTACCCTGTGTTTCACGCTTCCAAACTCGCACCTGTCAGGGAAACAGACCAGTTTCCCTCTCGTCGCTCAATGCTGCCCCCAACCATGGACGGAGAGGTCGACATCGATGACATCATCGATCACAGAGAAATGCCAGTTCCAAGACCTACAAGCAGAGGACGTCCTCCGAAACCGAAGCTGCAGTATCGCGTTTGGTTCAGAAATCACACCGATCCTGAGGAGGATAGATGGTTTACACGGGAATAACTGATGCAGACCGCTCCACAGGCTGTCGCCCACTATGAGAAGTGGCTGCAGAAGGGAAAGCGCCAGATTGAATGAACTTCTCAGAGGACTAGTGAAGTATGGAGGAGGGAATGCGAGGCACAAGGCCTAAATAAGCCCCACTGGGCCCTGTTATCAGCAAGGTCGGCCGCCCTAAGTGAAGGCAGGCCCGACCGAGGCCTATTTTGGACTACTACGCACCTGGGGAAAATTCAGGCAGTTACGCAGCGCCAGTTGGTTGGAAGCGCCCAGGCCCAGGTTGCCTTTCATCATATGTAACTGGGGCAGGCCCTGGGCCGGATACACAATATGGATCGAACAAAGGCTGAAGGCAGTTGGGCGCTAGTAACCACTACAGGCCCTGGGCCTGTTTCCTTTGGACTGAGGCTCAGCCTCGTGGGGCCTACCAGAAGCTTCTGGGCCGGGGCCCAGTACTGCATTATGGCAAGCAGCAGCGGGCCATTTCAATATAGGGAAGGGCCTGCCCACGCATTGGTCATTTGGGCACTGGCTGCATGCTGCGCTAACGCTGGCCAGCGCTCACGCGCTCACGGGCGAGCTGGAAGGAGCAGGCAGCCATAGCCGAGCTGCGCTGCTGTATGCTGGATGGGGCGCATGGTGGTTCTTGGGTGCATGTGGCATCTGTGAGTTGGGGATCGAGGTTGTGAGTGATACGAGAGACATACCTGGTGCTCGAGGCCAGCGGCATTGGCCGAGATCTGCTCGTACTTCGGGGAGCTGTTGACGTCATCAGCGGCATTGTAGATAGGCTAGATAGGATCTGCCATCTGTAGTCTGGGTGCCGAGTGCCAGATAGGATATCGACATTGGTTCTTCGTTGATGATGATGAGGCTATTCCAGCATTGTCAACTATGAGCTTATGCTGTGCTCTTATTTGGTGAAACTCGTGATGCAATTCTGCTATTGGTTCGAGGTCACGACTATCTGGTCTCATGTGTATGATGCTGTTTGATTTCTGAAGTTCGCTATCACTCATTTTCCTTGCACAATCTGAAAGAAAATGACAATGAACGATGCGATACAAATGAACGGCGAAACATGCACAAGATGCAGTAGTCACACAACTAACCTCTCCTAGCAAGGACACCGGGGTAATTAAAAAAAAAAAAAAAAACTGTTGTTAAGGTCCTTCAGCATCTTTCTTAGTCTACATACCGCACCCTTCCCAAGCTATCGTCATAAGCCTTTATGTCTTCGCATGCCTCTATATATTGTCACATAACTAAGAACTAAAAGAGAGCAATTTGAGAAACAAACGGCAAAAAAAAAAGGAAAAAAAAAAAAAAAAACCAAGAAGGGCACAGTGAAACCATTCATTTTACTCATTCTTCTTTTGACTCCCCTTTCACCGTGCCTCTCACGTACAAGGCTCGCCACGTTGATGACGTCGAGCGCGAGCTGCCCCCATCCCCGTCTGCCATAACAGCCCACTTGTACGCTGTGAGAAAGAGGCAGAGTGAAGGGGGAGGGGATAAACACAGGGAGGAGAGATGGAGAGCAGACAAACAAAGGACGATAAAGGGAAAAGTATGGAGTGTGGAGTGAAGATGAAGGCAAAAGAGGATAAGAAAAGGCTCAAGAATGAGTCTGTCCTTGACGACAGAGAGGACATACATTGAAAGGATGACGTCGATGAACACATGGAAGACCTAGCTGAGCATTCTCAGTGCAACAATTGCCACGACGGGTGGCATTGAGCATGCCTGCCATACACCACCGACAATGGCATGTCGATTGCGGGCCAAAATGAAAGAAGAACGGTCACCACAAAAGAGCATGCATTCAGTATAGCGCCCATGGCCACAAAATGGACATATGGTGTCCGGACAAAATGGACATATAGTGTCCGGATGCGGAGGGTGCCTGCAGTCAGGAACAGTGGGACAGTCCTCTGCACACATGGATGCAGAAACCATGTCATTGTARTGATTGTGACMGAGACGRTGGCGKYTACAGCCGAGTGTAACAGTGYTTGTGGTTGTGCAAAGGAGAAGGTCGCAGAGTGTTGGTGCATTGTCTTGCTGCAGCACGGGGCCAGAGGAATGATCTTCGACATAAAAGAGATTGCGGACGGTTTGTTGTGGCAAGAAAACAGCATTTTTTGTAAGAAATCAGTGACATCAATCATGGCATGGACCATGGTGCCGTTGTCCCACAACTCCCAGTGGTCAGAGGCATGCACAATGGCCATGTAAGGGCCAGGGCCGTGCACAATGCAGGCATAGATGTGGGATGGAGGATTAAACCACTCACCTGCTCGAGCATTGCGTAGTTCAAGTTGACGGTCCCTCATTGCTACTTGTAGGACAACAATGGTAAAGCCTCCTTCGCTGGTATAATTACAATCTTTTGGTTGTCGTTGGGGAAGATCAGCATCAAGCTGAAGGGCGATTGCAAGGAAGTCCGATGGTGTATAAAACAGGCGATGGAGAATGTGAAGATAGATATTAGTTGCTGTCAAACCACAGAGACTGGTGAGGTTCTCAGGCTGGTTTGTTGGATGCTGGCCAACAATTTGCAGATCACCCAGATGGTGTTGCAAGCCCAAACTGTGTTGGGTTGTTTGCTGGTCAGTCATTTGCAGATCACCCATGTGGTCTGCGTGTGGCGGAGCACAAAATTGTGTTTCATCCGAACAATGCTGGTCAGCCATTTGCAAATCCCCCATGTGGTCTACGCCTTGTGGGGTCAACTGCAATCCGGGCAGATCATGTTCCAATCCCTCAACGTTTAGGGCTGCATCTGGAGTAGGGCCTATACCCGGAGTCGGGAGTGTACTCTGGGCAGCGGCTGCATCCTGAGTAGGGACTGGTGGCTGCCTGTAGGCAGCTGGACTGTCTGCAGGAGTCATAGGAGCGGATATTGCTGTTTGAAACAAAGGAACCGCCACAACCTGTGGAGGCGGCACAAAGAGAATCAGGGCAGACAAAGAAACAGGTTGCTGATCCTCGGACAAGTGACGATGTCGCGGATGTCGTCGGTGATACACAACAAGAGTAGTGGTGTTGCAAACAGAAGCTGAACTTGTACCTAGCAACGCAGGTGGAACAACGGGAACAATGGAAATTGGAGAGTGTGTTCGCAAGCGAGACCGTGGAGGAGATGGGGGTGGTGAGGAGGAACGCAGTCGTCTACGGCCAAGCACAGACAACGATGAGAGGGGGGTGCATTGGGCAAGATTTCGGAGCAAACGACGTGAGCGTCGGAGAGATTGTGATGTTCTTTGCATTGGAGCTGCAGGACAGGAAGCTGTAGCAGTAAAAACTAAAGTAGGGGGAATTACAGTTAAGGAAACTGCTGTACTGAAAACTGCAGCAGTAGAAACTGCAGCAGCGGGAAACTGGAGCAGTGGAAACTGGAGCAATGGAAACTGCAGCAGTGGAAACCGCAACAGTGGACACTGCAGCAGTGGAAACTGGAGCAGTGAAAACTGCAGCAGTGGAAACCGCAACAGTGGACACTGCAGCAGTGAAAACTGCAGGAGTGGAGACTGCAGCGGTGGAAACTGCGGTAGCAGCAGATGAGTAAGCAGGGGCAGGACGAGAGCATCGTATATATTGTCAAGTTATCAGAGCGCAAAAGTGAAAAAAACAAAAGGAAACAAAAAAGATATCAATTCATTTTTTATCTTCTTACTTACAACTCCCCCTGTTCAGAACCTCTTGTGTACAAGGCCGCCCACGTGGATGTGGTTGAGCGGCGGCTGCCCCCAACCCCATGTGTCATATCGACCCACTTGCACACAGCCAAAAGGCAAAGAGGCAAAGAAAAGAGGAAGGGGATAACCAAAGATAACAAAACAGGGGGTATATCTACATCCCTCTAAATGTCTCTACATGCCTCTTCAGGGCTCCCCATGCATCCATGCCTCTATGTGCCTCTACATTACCTCTGCATGCGTCTACATGCCTCTACATTACCTCCGCATGCCTCTACAAGCCTCTATATGCCTCTACAAGCCTCTATATGCCTCTGCATGCCTCTATATGCCTCCACATGCCTCTACATGCCTCTCTACATGCCTCTACATTACCTCCGCATGCCTCTACAAGCCTCTATATGCCTCTGCATGCCTCTATATGCCTCCACATGCCTCTACATGCCTCTATATGCCTCTGGATACCCCTCAACATGGCACTGCTCTTCTTCATGCTCATACCGCAGCTACGGCCCACTGTATTGCGCCTTCGAGATGCAAGGCAATGGATTCAACTCAGTGATCATCATTGGGAGGGAAACTCACCTGTATCGGATTACGATATCCTCTTCTGAACACGGGCCGCGTTGGCGGAGATTTCACAATGGCCTGCGGACTACTTGAAGTCTCCAAAGTCGACTTAGTTTAACTATAGATTTGAGCTTATCTATCCTTTTATGAAACCTAACAGTAAATTGCCTATACCATGCTGTGTTTCCTATATTTGTTTCCAGCTCTGTGGCGAGCCTCCAGAGGCTCGCTAGAGGCCTTTGTCGGCTCTCGCAAGAGTCGAGCCTCTTGGTTGTTGGTTGGGATTTACTGGTTAGAGATCTTCCAGAAGCCCGAAGTCCTACAGGACCGTGATGACGCACATTCAACTTCTGTGAGGAGAGGAGGATGAAGATACATTGGTTATAAGCGTGTTACACTACCGTCTTCACCCAAACAGAATGCCCATCGCCCAGTCATTCTCGCTGCATTTGGACCGAAAGCTTTGCCAAACACAGCTATAATAACTGGGTGTTTTATTTGAGTGCAGACGGTAGTTAGGAGTAGCATTGGTCTTGTTTCCTTCGTTCCTGTTCTACAGTAGTTGGCAGGGGGGTACTCGTCAAACTATCTGCTAAAAAGGTTGTAGCTTAGGGAGACTTCATGGCCGTTCACTATCATTTTACTATTTTAATGAACTTTCCGTGAGGAGTGTGAGTCAATCAATTTGAATAATAAGAGCCTCTCAGCAGCTTGACAGAAGAGTGTGAGTCATACATGCGGCGCATTGCGATGCGCTGTACTGCGCACGTGCGCCGCACCGCGCATCCCACACGATGCGCGCACACTGCATGCGGCGCAACTCCAAAAATGGGGGTCGGAAAAAAAAAAAGAAAGTTGTGAGGGGCGGTAGTAGACCCGGCCCCCTGCTCGCGTAAAATAAGAAACGGGCAGCCAAATCTTTTTTGGAGGCCGCGCATTGGCCTGAAAGCTTTTAGAAACCTGTAGTCCGCGTAACACTCTGTGTATGGTAGGGTTCTTGCAGTCTGTATGGTAGGGTTCGAGCAGGCCAGATTCAGTCATGATGAGGGTCGCGATCTCTGAACTTTCTCTTCTTATTACTTCTGAAGTAGAAAACGACGGAACTGACAGCCGTTTTAGGAAGAAAATCAGCGGAACTGACAGCCACTTCCTTCTTTGAAAGGGTGACAGCCTCGAGACATCATGGGCCTCACCACACGGCACACGAAACGAAAACGAAACGAGTGCATCTGCCCACGAAAGATGGCAAAATACACTCGCTACTATTTTTTATAGCACACCGATGAACCTGCCCATTCTCTGCAGAAAGATGCAATCGTTTCGTTTTTCGTTTCGTGTGCCGGCGACGCCCCATGATTGATTGACCAGGCCCAGGGAGTTTATAAAAAAAAAAAGAAAAAAAAAAAAACTCAACGGTACTGTTCACCAACGGGCTCGCTGCACTACTCTCGACATGCACACAAGACATATATGGCAATGTATCTTTCCATGTTCAAGCGGAGGATTCAATCTCATTTGTTCAGAGATTCTCCAAAACAAAAAAAAGAAAGGTTCCAGAGATACGTTACGCGCTTACCTGATTCATTCTCATTTTGCACATTTGGTAAGTAGCGGAGCAACAGCCCTTCGCTCTCCACCACCCAACGTATGAGCAAAATGGGAATGAATCTTCCGCCGGAACATGGAAAGATACACCGCCATTTTTTTTGTCCTTTGTGCATGTCGCCCCGCTTCCGGATTCATGTTGGCTGTCGATAAGGGCGGTTTCTTCGGTCCGATAGTGTCAGCACACGGTTTCTCTCTCTCTCTCTCTCTCTCTCTCTCTCTCTCTCTCTCTCTCTCTCTCTCTCTCTCTCTCTCTC